CCACCCATCACATAATATTCATGCAATTATGACTTCCTATGTATCACAGTCATGCAATCCCTATGTCACATGACTAAGCATAGTAGACTTATTGGGGTTAGAGCTAAGAAAGACATCAAAGAGGTGCACAGTACAATGGGCCCATAAAGCGGTCCAGGCATTGCAATGGGGCTTGTACATCTTTTGCTACACCGGGGAACAAATGGGTAACTGTTGGCTTTATTCTATTATTTCCCACACTCATCAGAATGTTACATTTTCATGTCAATGATCTTTTAAGAGACCAATCACCATGAAGCTCAGCATATTATTCAACCAACTCAAATCACTTTAACTCCTTGGCAGGGCAGAGCAGGGTAAGTGCCGGCATATGCATTTCTTTATTATAGATACAAATAAATATAATGTCTCTGCTTACCATGTCATCGGTGACATTATACTTTAAGAACCCGGCTTTGTAGTGCGCAAACCCGGCTGAGTTGGCGGAAAACTGCGACAGAGCCAGGAGCAACATGCGCGAGTCAACGTCTGGCAACGTAAGCCTCTCCGGCCGATAGGGCAACAGGTGCTGTGATTGAGCGACAAACTCCGCCTGGAGGGTATAAGATGGGTAGACAAAGAAACCCTGTCACCAACTTAAAAAATTGCAATAAAACATTAAAAAGTATTAAAAAATCCAAGATGGCGGCACCCAGCAAAAGTCTCAGGGCACTTGGATGTCTACACAAAGGAGGCTTTTACAGGTACCTAACCTGCATGAATTATGTTAAATGCCCATATCATGGCACGGGAAGATTTTTGTGGAAAGGGATGGTCTGCCCGCAGGGTCTCTTTAAATCATGTGAGCCTTGTATCGGTAACCTGGCTGCTCCGGCTCCATCATATTCACCTTCACAAAAAGATCAAAACTTCTGTCTGTAATGAGCGGAGGTCCCACCAGATCGACATCCACCTCAGACACGGAGTCCACTGATAGGGAGACTACGAAATACAAAGAATCGCTCCATTACTTTCTGTGCAGTATACTTCAAGGTGTATCGTTCATAATGGACTCAGCCAATCTGTAGGTTCTCCAGCCTGCGCGTTCTCTAGAAACCTATGGCATCACTATGTGAAGAGGTGCATTCTGGGAAGGGTGACTTCCATGGCACCAGGAGCACACATTTTATCCATTGGTTTTGAAAGCAGAACATGTGTATTTATTTCCTATGAGCCTCAGTGCAATGCGTGAGACGGGAATTCACATCTCCAAAATGGAGAGTTACAATCTACGGGTCAAGTCTACTATGTTTCCTCCACTCTCCACCATGGTCTGACATGTCCCGTGCTGTGGCATACCTATGGCTCCAGCTCTGACTCAGCAGGGATTGTGATAGACCTCTGCAGAGAGACCACTGCTTCCACATATAGAGCAAGGGACCTACTCCAATGTTGAAAACCAACCAAGAAAACCAACTGCAAGACTTGTTGTGATGCACCCGGAATGGATTTTAAAAGATTGGGCAGTGGCGTAACTATAGCCATAGCAGTCCAGTTGGCCGCTATAGGGCCTGGGGTGGAAGGAGGGCCCCGTTAGGTTGTTGAGGCAAATTAAATATACAATATGAGAAGATAACATAGTACTGTATCATTAACAGTTGGGGTGGTTGCAGTTGATGACAAACCTAATCCTCTGTAAAGTCTACAGTGCAGGAAAGCTAAAGTCAAATGCACAAGTCTTTGGGATGTTGGTGTCGTTAGTCATAGATCAGAGAGAGGTCGCGGAGAGGCCCTTCATCAAATTTTTGCTATGGGGCCCCGTGATCTGTAGTTACGCCCCTGAAATTGGCTTTTTTAATCATCCAGACAGCGATGGGGCATTACAAGCCGATCAGGGCACCAAGTAGTCTTTTGACTCCCCAGAAGGCACACACCCATAGCCGCTCATAGGTTGGTGTATTTTGTGCTTCTCTTTTAACCAGACAATGGACATTCCAGCCTGGTTGCAGACTACCACCCCCTCCCCAGAAGAGACCGGCCCAATTACCTGGAAGAGAACTCAACTTTTTCTCCATCTGTTTCACGGCTTCTCCAAATGATGGACAGATCTAGAGAAAAAGAGATGAGCCATGAGTGAAAACATCGCACCATGACTAATTGTTAGAAATACATCACCTGCCTTACAAAACCGATAGAAGAATGACAT